GGAAGGGGTAGCGAGTACGTTGCATGTATCCGTGGCGCGGATTGATGCACGAAGCGAGGCGCAGTAGTGTATTTCAAGGGACGGTCGGCGGCGTTTCGCGGAACCGGAATCCGATTAACCGGCCGCAAAGTCCGCAGGCGGTAAATTACAAAAGAGTCGGTGCTCGATAGAGACAGATAAGGCATGAACTCTGACGATGCACGCAATGTCACGCAACGCGATACGGTACGAAGGGGGTGTTTGGCGCGTCCCGCGGGGGTACAGGACGGTCGTCGTCATTCATGTCGGCGAGGAACGAATCTACGATTACGAAAGACTTCCTAGAAATATAAACCGAGTACAAGCGGCGGACTGATACGCGGCAGGCGTATCGCGGCGGTGTCGGGTTGCAAGAACTGATTCGCTTGCGAATATCCGCGTAATATACGGCTCCGGTTTCGAGATCATTGTAGAAGCATCGGCGGAGGGTTGTGCACACAACTTTTCCGACAAAGTACATAATGGCCGTCGTTGTCTCGCGAAGAGATTTCGTCGCGATGTTTGCTGCCCGGCTGGAATAATCGCGATATCTTTCGACAGACTGTTCGTTGATCTTCGATCGGTTCTTCGAGTACGACGCCAGAGCCCGTTTCTATACAAATTTCCTACGGGACGATAAACTTCGAAAGAGACTCGTAAAATGATTGTATCATAACTCGTTAAAGTTAAAACCAGATATAAAGGACATCGCAGTTTCTGTTTCGGAGGAGCCTTGGTACTTCCGGTTACCATCGCGACCACCCAAAATCTGAGATTCGCCGATATCGTCGACCAGAACGGGTAAACCGGAGATTGATCGTTCGGCGAAAATTATAATTTGGGAATTAATATTCATATCTGCTACCATCGGGTCCCTCTCGATGGAAAAAACTCGGTTCGGATACTTTGCGGAGTACGTCATGGAAAAGTTCAAAACCGCTGCTTCGTTCGCAAAGGCTTTTACGTGTATTTTCAATACGATCGAGTTTGCTAATTGTCCGATTATAATTTCAAATTGACGCAATCAATTTCACGGTGTAACGATACGATTGAATTGACTATAAATAGGTGTTGCTCGATCACGGGTGATTTCCTGTTCGACAAAAACTATTTTAAGAAACCGCCGATGAAACGAGAGTCGCACGGTTTGTATTAGCCCGTGGCTATGGGAACAATGAGTATGCTAATTAGTAACTAGGAGTCTTAATAATTAGACGATATTTGATTCTCTTTCTCTAAAAAAATTATTGGACCTATCTATCTCGAACTTTGTGTTTCCATTTGTTTCATTCAACTGTAACACAAAGCTCTACTTATCATCGCGTACGAAACGATAAACTCTCAAACAAAAGAATAACAGTTTTTCAGATTTCACTGGAATCTTTTCAATGTTATGCTTTTTCCTCGTGTTTTGTACACAGTTCTGTTGATTGCTAAATATGTCAGGATTTGCACAGCGAGGAAATTGATTTATGGCGGTGTGTGCACAGCTTGCCTCGCAACGCGATAATAAATTCATGCCTACGTTACATCCACTCTCACATTCCGAAGAACATCCTGAAGCCACCAATTGAAGTTGAATTATAGTCTGTACGATATTCTTGGGGTCCCGAATCTGTAGTTACGAAAATGAACGGAGTGAACACTTCGAGCAAACATCACCGAGCGAAAATTCAAATTTTTCGAGCGTCCAAAGTTAGTGAAAGTCTTGTAATGATAGGACTGTTGAACGCTGATAAGGAGTGTCGGTTTCCTTTTCGGGTCGTTCGGAAGTGACGCGCAGCTTGCTCTCGCGTCAAGGTTAGATAATAATTTCGTTTCTGATTGAAACGCTCGTGTAGCTGCCATCCCAATCGCGTTTCCACGATAATGTGCACGGCTGGGTGGCCTGGAAACCGGTTCATGCGGAATATAAATTGAATCGCGAAACGGTCCTTTTTTTCACCGTCGTCGTCGTATATCGTATCGAGCTTAATGACCAGCGATCGGTTGTTTAGGATCTCGACCGCGGGTTCCTTTTTTTCAACGATTCTACTCGACGGAGTCTCGGGAATTAAAAGAGAAAGTTAACACATTGGGACCCCGTCCGTCGACGATAATGCTCTCACGATCATCGAAATGGCAAGCTATGCAAATACAGTGCCCCTCGATAAGCGGTGAAGTCGAAAAGATATGGATAATTCTGTGTTTAAAAATAAATCAAAAACACGGAATGAAATGCTTTCATTAAGTTAAAATTAAATGTGTTCCAGAGCCACCTCTTTTTTCGATATCGTACATTTAGTCAAACGATTTATTTCCAGGTTTAGTAAAATTTTCGTTTCTTCTGGAAAGTGTACTTTCAATAGTTAGGTGGACAAGTTTGTCGACAAAATTAAAAAATTTCAAATCGTTCTGGAAAAATTATTTTTGATTGCGGGGGTTAATTACAATCATCTTTGGTGAATAGACACACCCCCGAAATCCTACATACTTTCGAGAAAAAAAATTCTAAAATTTTAACGAAGCCTCAATCAACAGATTAGTATTCTTGATTTTCGTCTTATTTTGGCCTCTAGAATCTCCCATTAAAATTTTTCCCAGGGGTGGTCGAACACCTTGCATACACGATGCAGCCGGAGGCCGGAGATAGCGTTGGTTCGTCGTGCTCGAGGGGCCCCGATCATTGCACGTTCGCGATCGTTGCTAATTTGGCGCGTTTCGCGGGGAACGGACACGCGACGCCGCGATTCCCGGCGACCGGCGAAATAATGACTCTATTGATTCCCTGTTTCGCGTCGGGGCTTGCGCAACCGGCATTAGTCATCGCGAGAGTCGGAACGCGACCGAGAGGCGACGTGTAAATGCCGGTGATTGAAAATAACTACGCGCGCGAGCGCGGCCCGGCCGTTGTAAATTAATTACGGAGACCGCGTCCGTATTTGTACTCTCTGCCTTTCGCAATCGAACGTAAACATCGAGTTTTCGAGCGCAATTATGCGACTCCGTTACACCAGATATGCAAATTGCCCGCAACCTTTTTCGGTGACGTCGAATTCGATCTCGTTTCGAGTTACCTCGTTTTCTAGTTAATAGCTCCGAATTGCTCGATGTCGTGTATGAAAACGACTGTACTGTTAGAATCGACAATTTTGTGCAATTTTAGAACTTTTCCAGCGCTTTGTTTAAACCGCCTGTTAGGTTTACTGCCAAAATTTGAATCGTATTAAAAGAAATAATACGATGGACCCAGGGAGCCTTTGATACGAAGATTGTGCACTGATTGGTTAAAAAAAAATGAACTCGAACAGCTTGAATTGACTACCACAAGTGGGAATTTAAATCGAACGTCACGCGCAATCGTGTCGCCGTGTAAGCGCACGACGGCCAGAAGGACAAGCATATTCGTCGACACAATCAGTATTCCAAAACGAGCATTTCTCGTTTCCATCTCGCTGGAATTCGGTCAACGCACCAAGAACGCCGCGGATCGCGTTGCATAATGCAACTGCGCGCGATCGTTTTTCTCGGGCGCGTGTATATGCGTCGTACGCGACGACGCCGCGTAATATTTTCGTGACCCCGGTTGACATTGCCAAAAACTACCGATACGGGCGGCAATAGAGCACGGTCTCGCACGAGCAAAGGCCAAGGTTAAGGTCGACCGTTTCCCCTCCCGCCATCCCGTCCAACCATTCGTTCGCCAGGCTTGTTGTCTTCCTGACGCTCTGACGTAACTTCCTTCCACCAATTCGACCTCTGCGGTCATCGTCACGAGTCGCAACCGTGCTCGCGTTCGCGGGAACCGAAAATGCACACCCGTGTTTTTCCACTGCAACCATTCGACGCGAATCAGTTGCGAGATGGCAACGTTTTTCATTTTTTATTCCATTCCTTTTTATCATCTCGGTTTATAATTTTTATACGAATAAAACCATACTTGGATCTTAAAAATTCTGCTTTTGAAATATTATTCAATGAAAATAATTATTAATTGCATTTTCAACAATTCCATTAACGCAACGGTAATATATAGGCCCGTACACCCAACTTTGAATTCTCTGTTTGCTAAATAAAATCTAAATTATAAAATGAAATTATATTTCGCTCGACCGGAGTGCTGTCGAATCGATAACTGCTCTCGCCGGATGAAAGTTTCCCATGGTAAATTGCTATACGGAGCTTTCAATATTCCAATTAAACGTGTTTGCCTTCGAGCATACAATGTTAAACGGACCGATTTCCATTCCAAAGTGACCGAACTTCGTTCCGCCGCGAATTTCGGACCGTCGAAGGTGTATCTGTTATCGAGTTGGACGTCGGTGCCAGACTCTGCAGTAAAATCGGACGTCAGGCTCGGCCGTGTGTGAAACTCCGATAGAAACGTATTCGTGGCAGACGTTACAGAAATTATCGGACGGGAACGATTCCGAGCTTGCAAATTCCCCTGTCTCTCTGGATACATTCTGCACTCCACGGTCAACCGTGTTTCGACGAAACTTCTGGCTCCCGGGAACTTCCTACGGCTCGCCGATCCCGGAGGGTGGCACGTTCTTCCGGGGATAAATTCTCCGTCCGTTCGGGAGGGTTTATATTTCACGACGCGCGGGAACCTTCTTTTTCACAAGCGACGGTGCCAGGAGTTACGAGAACACGCGTGCATACTCGTTTTCGTCGGCTCGTAGGGATAAACGCGGGTCCTATAACAACGACCCTCGACTTACACGATGTACACGGAGGGTGATCAAGCGAGGGAGAACCCCGGGAATTATTATGTATCGCGAGAAACATGCCCGGGAACCCCGACTTTTCCCACGTCGAGATTTTAAAGCCGTCGTTTGAAAAGGCCATTACAAAAGGTCGATCGAATTTTTTTATAATGTTTCGTTCCTTCGTTCATGGTAACTTTGGTGTTAACTGTTCTACAATCTAAGTCTAACGTGGGAGGATAAATGCCAGTTGTGAATTTTAACCGACAATTTATGTTGTTAATTTGTTCGCAGGCAAAGCTGCGGCGCGAACGGGATCTTCTCGCGTCGTCTGGACTTCAGCGCCTTCAACAGTCTGCCTCGCACCAAGCTGAACTCCTATCACATTAAGGTGAGTGATTAACCGGATACGTGCTTGATCCACGCCAACGTCGTCGTGCTCGCTATTCCGCGTTTGAGAAAAGTTAGACGAGGGAGACGCGCGTGCGCACGGAGGTCGGCGAAAGTTTGAAACAGTAACCCCCGCTATAGAGCGCCAGGAAAGCGGAGAAGCGAACTATACGCGAGATTCCTTAAAGCGGAAGGCACGCGATAGAGCAAGGTCAAGGCGTAGAGGAAGATCCTCCCGCTTTAAACCTTCCTCGAGGAAATCGTGTCGACGGTCTTTCTCTTTATCAACGCCCAAAGGAAAACAATATTCTGATTATCGTTGATAATAATTTGGAGTAACTATTTGAAAATATTATTTTTTATTTCTCAACTCTGGAACTAGAAATTAAAACGATAGATTCTTGAAGAAATTCTCTCACAGAAACCACGGTAAATTTGCAAAAATTCAGTCGAGTCTTTCACAATCTTTATTAGAAATTACGAATGGGTCGTTTCGAACATGATACAAATTCCTATTGTTCTATTCGAGGATGTTTATCGGTGATTTTAAGGCAACAGTTTTCTATCGAACGTACGTTGTGCCCACCGACAATAAAATGGCCCCGTGTAAAAGGATCCATTGGTCTATCTGTTCAGATGTTCGCGGTTCCTGTGATCGTAACGTTCTTAGCGATAATAAAACCCCGTAGGCTGTGTATATGGGTTTCGCGTCTCACCGCGGCCATGATTTGTTTACTGCCGACTAAGGTACAGTCTCGCACCCTTAAACCATCGTCCTTGATCCAGATACGGGCCCCCATGTGCGTCACGTATCTACGCCACGACCTTGTCGAAATAATGTCTCACGCAAGTGGGTGGTCCGTTCTTTTTCTTTGTTTCTTTTAGCGCGTGTATAGGTCTCTCGGACTCCCACCGCGTGAATCCTTTCTCGACTGCGTCGTAACACTGTCGTCCTACCCCAAATACACGAGGGGGTGAAAATCAATACCCGACCTCCGTCGTTGCCCGTGTGCATTCACACCCTTTCAGGGGTGTGCTCGCTCACGCGGCGCAATACGCGCCTGTTATTAAACCGCGATTCCCTGCCGACTCTATTCTACCTAGCAATATTTTCAAAGGAATCGCAGGCTCGTTTAATCCGAACTGCATCGGCACGCCTGCAGACGCCCGCGATACGAAGCTACGAAACTTCCTGTCGAATCGTTTGTTCGTCGATAAACAATAATAACGAGATAGCGATGGAAATATATTGACAATAGGATCAAATCCGTCTTGAAAAATATTGATAACGGGTGTGGGCCTTGGGAGTCACGTTGTGTTTTTTAGTTAATATTCCCAACTGAATCAAAACAACGATAAACAAAGATAAACGATGGAAATGGATGTTTTCGAACGATATCGAGCGGTGATTTAATCTTCCTAGTTTCCCGCGAAAGCGCGCACAATGCGTTTGATCGCGGGAAATCGCGTGACGGATTACAAATTGATTCGACGACGCGGTTACGCGAACGGTGTAAATTTGCCCAATAACGCGTGCAATTATATTTCGCGCCGCAAGGTCGCGTGGGCAGTGGGCCTGTGAAATTAATACCCCGACGCCCGAGAGAAAATTAATTTAGTAACCGTAGAACCGCGGTAACGCGTGACCCGCGAGAATGGCTTCCGCGCGTACGCGATAACGCAAATTAACGAGACGAAAGACGAATATTAACATAACGAGCTACCGATTACGTTTAAAATAGATTTTGTGACCTGTAGCATGCGAGATCCGCTTCGAGGTTTGATCGATTACCTTTATACACGTATGGCCCTGTTTGACTTTGTTTTCGCAATTTAATTTCTCTCTGTTGTTTTAAAAAGACCAAGAGTCGTATTTCGCCGCTTCGGGATAGGTTACATATGTGTTCTCGAAAGAGCGCGGTTGGTAACCCTAATTTCGAGAGCCCGTGCGAGCGGAGGAAGAAAAGGATGACTAGCAAAATAGAGGCCCGCGTGGTTCCCCTCCGGAGCTCGGTAAGTGGCGGTGCTTCGAAACGAGCAACCATAACGTAGTCACCCCATTATACGTCGGTTACCAGTACCTGCCGGGTCCTTTTTGGGAGGGGGGGCATCGGGGGAGGGGGATGGTGCCGAAAAAAACACCGCCAGCGAAGGGGTTAATTTGCGACCGGCACGGTCCCGAACGTTTCCGTGTCGAAAACGAGAGGCTGCGTGGAATATCGCCGCGGTGCTCGTGACTGCGTTGCGTATTTTTTAAAATAGGGTGAGCAAAGAGGGGGCGGAGGGAAGGGTGGTCTTTTTACGTCTGACTCTTTCGCGCAACCTTTCATCGCAGCGGGCACGAGCTCGAGGAAGGTAGCCCATAAAAAGCCTCTTTGCTCTGTCTCCGTCGTCTCTTTCTCTCTCTCTCTCTCTCTCTCTCTCTCTCTTTTCCATCGTCCACGGCGAAGCTCGCGTTATTTATTCCTCTTGCAAACGCAGAAAAGGGCCACGCTTTATTAGAAGCAACAATGGACACGGAGCAGCGGCCACGACCCCGCAGGTTTATAGCCGTGCGGGATAAGCCCGCCGCGCGCGCGTTTGGATTCCTTTCATTCCCGGCCGCGAGACGAATCGCACGCGACGGATTTTCCCAGCGCGTGAAAAGACGGTTCGCGTTTTACGACTCACCATCCGGGCCCTCGAGATAACTAAAAAGCGAATTTTCTACGCGACTTTTTGCCCCGTAGTCTTCCGTTGTCGTCGCCTGATCGCGCGATAAGCTCTCAAGCGGCCCATACGCGCCCCCAGGTTTACCCGCGAATTTGATCGACATGGTCTTCTCACGTATGTTAAAAGGCGACCAACTTTTATTCGAGGAACGTTAAAAATCAGTATATTTAATTCTAATAATCCCTGTTAGCGAGGGTGAACCCATTGCAAGTATTTCTAACGCGGATCGATGCAACTTAGTGAGGCAGCGCCCCGTGTTCCGGTGGGTCGTTTTATGGTTCTTCCATATCGTCGATCCCCGTCGGTTTTTGATTTAAATAATACCTGGGATTGGTCTAATAGAAACTCGAGGTAGTGGGAGACGATCAATACCTTTAGCCAGTATCCACGGCTGTTTGCGTGCATATACGCGGGAGAAACCGCACTCGAACCCTCGAAATTCTGCTTGGGAACTCTACCATGGCAACGTGTCGAGTAACAACCCTCTTACGGCTAAACGCGAGCGAGACGATTAGCTGTTTCGCGAATTTTCGGTCAATTCGATCCTTTGGAATATTCGAAGAGAGTTTTCGAACTGTCTGAAGCGTCTTGGAAGCTTTCGGTTCGACGAGCCGAAACGTCTGAATAGTGAAAGACCCCGGGCTTCCAGTTCGACGAAGTCCCTTTCACGCGCCGCGGATACAAAGTTCGCGTTATAGATAAGGATAAGCAGCTATTCCGAGTGCTGATCGATCTCTGCGGATACGACTTTCTACCTCGTTTAGTCTTCTCACGAACTTCTATCGAGTATCGATACAGTCGTAATAGTTTCTATACTTACACACTATGTATTTATTTATTTTTCGAAAGAAAGACAAATACAATTAAGCTAATACTAGCTTTAGAGAATTTATCAATTTCACAAAAATCATAAATATATGTTAAGTTCAGTTAAATTTCTGTCGTAGCAGGTTTCCCTTTAAGAATTAATTTTTTTTATCCGCGCAACGAAAATGCGTTCTGACAGCGAACGTGTGTACGGACTGTGTGGTCATCGTTGATCGACGTTCAAAGACCACCAAAACCTGCAAGACTTTTTTGTGCATTCAAACTCTCGTTAAAAGCCCACCCAGCCTCAAGGTTCCCCTGCACACTGGCCCCCGGAAGGTCTTCCAGTTTCGAATAATCTCCACGGTCGTGACGTTCGATTCGAACCCCTTCGGCTCTATCATCCAACCCTCTCTCGCGTCGAGGGGCGGCCAAGCCCTTTCTGCGCGCTACGAATCGTAGAATGCAAGGTTGCCTTTTGCGCGTCGAATACTGATATGCAGCGGCCCTCCCTCCGCCCCGCGCTTACGTCGCTTTTAAAACCGGGGATTGCTGGCGTGAATTGGAAATCATGGCCGGGGCTCTCTGTTCCGTTCCCTTTCTAGCGCCGTGTCCTGACGGGAATCGAGGGAGAACTCGCTCGCTTTCGCATCGCTGAAATCGCCCCACGACCCTCTTTCTCTCTCTCTCTTCCATTCGTTGAAGCATGATCGCGGGTTATTATTTCTCTCCGTTCTGTAACTCTTGTTTATGCGAGATGAGCCTCGAGCACACTGCAACCGTGGACCAAAACACGTTTGGGTATCGATTAATCCCTTGGGCGGTCTTCTGTGTTTTATAATACACTGACTACGAAACAAAAATATTTTGTTCAGGAAAGAAACACAAACGTACTGATACGAATGCCATTATAGTTATGTCCATAATTGCATTCGTTCCTAATTAAATAAGGATAGAAATGTTTAATTTACTCCAAATTTCGAGGAGTCCCATCGTTAGTAAGAGATCGTCGGATTCATTTCATCCCCATTCGAGTAGATTAAATCCTCGATCTCTCTTCTGCATCGTTCCACTGCGATTGATTTATATTCGCGTTACGTGGGTGGTGTACCGACACCTATGACGATTACGGGTGCAATTCCAAGACGCCGGGACAAAAGGGAGGCCGGCAGTCCTTTAAAGAAGGAAATATTGCGATTCCAGCGGATCGCAACGTTCCGTGCGCGACACCGATGATCTCTAAACGGTGTAGTTAAGACCGAACAATAAATCGGGACGAAAGGAGCGATGGAAATGGGAAAGTGGCGTGCCAGGGTGCAGTTACTCCTCGCGTTCGTTTCGGGGTGTGGCCCCGAGAGTCTGGTTCGTGTGTTTGTTCGAGGCTGTCTATCGTTCGATCCCTATCCTGCAAGTGCGCCGAACTCGTTAAACCTCGTCCGCGAGCTGAATTTGGGCACTCTCGCTATCGCGTGATTTCTTAAA